ATAGTAAGATTTATTATAAAAATTCGTTATATTCAATTATTTTATTTAATAAAATTCGGGACCACTCATATAATTCATAATAATAAAAAATTCGGAATATAAAAATTCGTTATAGAGAGATTCAACTGTACAAACAAAGAACTTGTAGAATGGGACTTAATCATTTAAGAAATTTAGCAACTGTTAGACCTGTTAGACGTTTTTTTAATCCTAAAAATGACGTAGCCTTCAAAAAGATTTTTGGTGTGAAACAAAACAAGCTATTTTTATTAAGTTTTTTAAATTTGATATTAAGACGAGAGGGTGATAATATGATTGAAGAGGTTGAATTATTACCTCAGGAGCTATCTCCTCAATACGAAGATTCTAAAAAATCTATTTTAGATGTTTCTTGTCAGGACAAAAAAGGACGTAAATACATTGTTGAAATGCAAAACAAAAGACTCAGCTCATTCATCCAAAGATTAGAATATTATGCCTCACGTATTTATTCCGACCAACTCTTTGAAGGTGCAGATTATTTAGAACTTAAGCCAGTAATTCTACTTGCTATCGCGAATCATAATATTTTCCTAAAAAGATTCAATGTATTAGTTATCATCGCAATCGTAAAGAGGAATCAAATATATATTTTTTACCAAATCTTTCGTATGTATTTGTTGAACTTTCAAAATTTAGTAAATGCAGTGAACAACTCAAAACTCCTGAGAACTATTGGATACATTTATTAAAGGAAGCCTCTGATGAAAATGAATCTCCAAAAGAAGCGCCTAATGAGATTCAAGAAGCTTATGGAGTTCTTGAAAGACATCGCTGAAGCTCGGCGGAAATTTCAAGCTATGAAAAGACCATGATGGCAATTTTAGATGATGAAGATGCAATTAGAACTGCTAAAAACAAAGGTAGGGAGGAAGAGAAAGAGGTAGGTAGTGAGGAAACAAAAGAAGAAATTACATGTAAGCTTTTGAAAAAAGGTTATTCTTCTCAAGATATTTCAGATGTTACAGGTTTATCAGCTTCAAAAATTTGAGGAGTTAAAAAATCAATAATATATTTTGATTTAATGAGAACCCAATGAATATTTTATTCACATACAAAATGATTAATTAGATTCTTACTTGTATTCACATCATGAAACAGTGATTTTTTACAAATTTTATTATAGTATATATATTTTTTCAAATATAAAAAGAATTCTAGCTTAAAAATAATTAATAAAAAAATAGCAACTTCTTTATTACAAATCTTTTTTTACTATCACTTTCTTATTAGTATTTGTTATATCTAGAGTTCTGAATCAGATTAAATCAACCTATTATCTAATTTAATTTAACCTAAAAATCCCTATTATTTAATTTAATTTAACCTGTAAAAAATATTTTATTAGATTAAATAGATAATATAAACTGATCTAACTATTCAGAACTTTAGTTATATCAATATTATAGTTAATTTTTAAAATACTTATTTGTTATAAATATTTTATAAAAATAAATATAAGTAGAAAGTATATATATAACTTTTTTTGCTAATCACCTTGATCCATTATTCATATTAACTGATCAAAAATTAGGTCTGATTATATATCTATATTTTGTTATATATAACATAAATTATATGTTTTTAAGACTTAAAATATAGTTAATTCTTAAATATTTTTTCTAAATTTAAACAATTTTTTAAATAAAAATATTTTTAATATGTAATAAATGAATAATTAATCAAAAAAAAAATTAAACAAAAAATTTAAATAAGAAATAAAATATATTTTTCTGTATTTTACTTTTTAAGTTTTAAAAATGTGTTTATAGAGAGATCTTTCTAAATGCATTTTCTATAAGTGTATATCCTCCTTATATATACAGGAGTGACTATATCCTATATAAGAAAGATATATTATACAATTATTAAATCAATTTTTATACCTTTTTCACATATTTCTTATTTATATCAAACATTTGTTTCTTCTTTTGATTTACCAATCTTGATGTCATAGTCAACTTGAGATTTAACATAGTATTCAATCCTTTGTTACTTATTTCTGCTAAATCTAAATAATAAGCTAAATTAAACTTGAAAGCAGTAATTTTTGTGTTATTTAATGAGAAAAGAAGATAATAAATAAATAATATTATTTTTTTCATACGATCTATTGTTTGATTATTATATTCAGAAGACTAGATCACTATATAAAGTTATTTAAAGAAATCTTTTAAAGCAAGCTCAATTTCTTTCATTAATTCTCACATTTCATCAAAATTATAAATAGGATTTTCTTTCTGCATATATTCTCTTTTATATAGGACTTTTGCTATTATTTTGATAACTTCAGAAAGATTAAGTTTTATTCTAAGCATGCTTACCTTTTCTTCTTCCATAAATTTTTTCTGTTTAAGATCTCTTTTTAAAGGATTTTTTACCAAACTCATATAATAGCTACTACATAAGATAACACCTTCCCATCAGATTTTCTTCATTAGACCTTGACTTTTTACTAAGATCCTTATGTATACCAAATATATCCTTATAAAAATTATTAAACAAATCAGAATTTTTAAAAAGACAAGCTTATGAGCATTCAAAGATACATAAAGAGGACCCATCATAAGTAAAAATAATGTAACAAATTGAGAAATATTATTGTTATTAATGAGAAGCTATTTTGCAAGAACTTTACGAATAAACAACTGACCAGACTAGTTCATAATAATGAGAATTATGTAGTTAAAAAAATATACCTGCATTAGTTCTTATTCATATACGATCTAAAGTGCGCTCATGTAATCTTTTATTCCTTTTAAACCACTTTCAACAAAAGCACAAAGAATAGAATTCTGTATATGTCAATTATTTTTTTTCTCTATTATCCTGTTATTGTAACTATATACTGTTAATCTATCTACTAGCTTATCATTAGAATACCTCTTTATATTATTTCACATGTATTCATAATAAGAAATATCTAAATTTATAATAAACCACTTATCGAAATGCTTTTGAATTAGTTCACTATCCATGATTTTTAGATTAATTATCCTGTTATATAATATCACTAGCATCAGACATAGAATTGCTAAGATAGTTACCATATGCGTTGCTCAAAAAATTTTAGTTGTATCAAGTTGCCGTTAAATATATATTATAATAGTATTAATATTTGGGTTGATCGCTAAGAAAATCAGGTTCCGGAAATTTTTTAGTGAAATTGAAATTTTTATTGCATTTTAGTTTTTGATGTTATTAGATTAAAATGTATTAAGCTCTTAATTTTAGTCAAAAATTTTTCAGAACCTGATTTTCCTAAAAACCCTCCTATATAGTAAATTTGACATAATAAGAGTTAAAGATTACACAAATACCATTATTGATTTTATTATTAAACCTCAAATACTATTTTCTATTGTAAAAATTTCTTAGTTTAAAAAGTTATGTAATATATTAGATCAAAGATATATTTTACCATCATGCCAATATTTGCAAAAACAAATAATTAATAGATTTGCAAATCATTATTTTTTAGTTGCAGATGAACTTAAAAATCTCTTAATAAAAGTATCTCTTATTACTGATATTTAAACTTCAATTACAAATCAAGCTTATTTATTTATTATATTAATGATGAATAGAATATGCAACATTATTTTCTTAATTTAATTTATTTTGAGCATTATCATACTAATATTAAGATAAAGAAAAAACTTCTTCAATTAATAGACAAAATGAATCTTAATGGAAAAATTCTTTCTCTTACTATAGATAATAATACAATAATGGTACTTTGTAGTAAAAATATAACAGTCAGCGGACATTTAAAGAATCGACATGGTGACCTGTTTTTAATTAGAAAGATCGACATAAATATTCATCAATTTTGTAAAATCGTTTTTTAATCAAATAAAAAAATCTTACATAATAATGTATGCTAAAATTTTGCATATAGATTCATACTATTTCAAAGCTATATGGTATTAATTTTTATCGAAATTGATTAAATATTGGGCTACTTTTATTAGAAGCGATTAAATTATAAATAAAAAATTACTAAACTTTATGTATATCTTATCTCATAAAATCTTGTTTCACTGTGCTTTGTAACACTAAGATATTTAAAAGCACGTGATAACAAAAGAACAGTTTTATTTTTGTTTAGACGAAACAAACAGTAAATAACTTGCATCTTTAGCTCCAATTTTCACTAAAAATGTAAATCGCAAAAATGGTGAAACATAACCACACTAGTTTTTTGTCATTTTATTTACTTTCAGAAGACTTAATAGAGGAATATACTGATGAAATAAACAAGAATAACGAGTTTTTATTTGTAAATGAAAGAATTTCAAAAGTATTTAATGATGCTTTAGCTTAGACTGATAATGACGATACTAGTAGTATTAGCAGTATAGATTCTAAAGACTCTGAAGTAAGGATTTTAGATAATAATGAAATATTAGAAATTGAAAAAGATGAGATTATAGATCATTTAGAACAAACAAAATTCACGTCATACGTTATAATTAATTTTATTGATGGCAAGAATCAGCGGTGCGAAGAATCAGAAAAATTAAGACAGTTGCATAATTTATTTGGCACATGGCAAGTTGATAGAGATACAGTTAAAGAAGTTGATGGTATTTTATCAAAATTAGGAGTTTGTGATTCGCATTTCCAATTTGACAACAAATATTTACATAAACTACAAAATAAAAAATTCAAGGCTTTTGAAGAGGAAATTATACAATGGTGCTGATATATTTTTTGTAATAAATATGTTACTTTTTTTCTCGAGGTGTGGAATGTACTATATACTCTTGGCATTTGAATAAGCAAAATATTTAAATATCCTGCATTGGACAACACTCATATGAAGCGCTAAAAATTTGTTTGCCTTTATGTAACTGGGCATTTGATAATATTAAAAAGCCTTAAAGCATTTGTTATTTATATTATGAGATATTGGGTGGTCACATTTATCATCGTCTTGGTAAGGAAAAGTATGCAAAAACATGTATTACTAAGAAACTACACGCTGATGATACAATAAAAAGTCTTGAATATTTAGGTAATTGGTTAATTAATATTGCATAAACTGATAATGATGAATTTAAAAAAAAATTACTCATAGAAACTTCCAGAGCGTTACTCCCTTTTACATCTGTTTCATTTAATCAAGAAGATACTGATAATGATATTACTACTACATCTACCAATATATCAACTAATACATCAACCAATCAAACAAAAATTCTTTATAACGAACCCCCTAGTTTATTTATGATAAAGATTATTTTTAAAAAAAAAAAGCAGAAATAAATTCTAGAAATTAATTTTGAAAAATTTGGACGTGCATTTGATCAAAATTATGAAATTCACAATCAGATGTCAAATCAAAAAAATTGGCTTTGGAATCTTCACAAACTATTTAGAAATATTATGATGCTTTTCTCAAATTCTTAAATAGCTTTTTTTCTGAAATAATAGATGAATTGTATCAGAAAAAAATGATGGTATGTAACTGGCAGAAAAGAAAATGTGAGAAATTACCTAAGATTACGATTCCTGAATGTACAACAAAAATTGTAACATTTATTACATTAATGCTATTAGGAATTGCTTTTTCTCACTTAAAAATTTGGTTACCCTAAGTTTTATCTAGCCTTAGCTATATACCATGATTATTAGGCTCTTTTCAATAATTATTGACAGTTTGTTGTGTTATGTCACATAGTGATCAGCATGAACGAAGGCTTGCAAAAATATGAATAGAGGATTCAGATCCAACAAACCGCCTAATTAAAGGTAAAAATATTTGGAACTTAGCTGTAATTGATAACATCGACTTTAAAGAAAGAAGCTTTAAGTTTAAAAATATTTATGATGTTACCTGTAGAAATTCACATGCTATTTTGAGAATGGCTTTTCAAACCCAGTTGCCGATTGAAATAAGTATTGGTCTTAAACAAGTTATTGAGTTAACAGCTGAAATCCATTATTTGAAATGAATCAGAATATTGATAGAACATTAATAATATT